ATATTGCAAAAGCAATTTTTATTTTGGTTTCGCAACTTTTTACTTTGACATTTAACTTTTGTGAAGTTGGACTTTGTGGAGCAATCTGTGCAACACCGGCCACACTAGACCGATCTGCCAGTTATTTAAGCTATGCTATATTGCATTGCCTGGTGACGGTGTTTAGAAAATTGTTATCCAGGCCAGAAGAACAATTGGGCGCTTTCCATGCTAGCCATCCTAATTATTCAGAGCTCTTAAGAGATGTTTTAAAAACAAACCCTATACTCACAAACGAAAGCTAGCCAACAGAATTATGTTCATTTTTATTTTAGTAAGTTTAGAGAAAACCTTTAAAAAAAAGTTTCACCAAACAAACAGAAAGTCGCGAAAGCCTCCAGCAACAACAATAAACAACAACAAATGAGCCACACAAACACAACATTGTGGAACCTAGCAGCCCGAATGGAAGCGCAAAAAAGGTTGCGATGGGAGAAGAAACAAACTTAAAGCCAGACCCGAAACCGGCTAATGAAAAGCGTTTATACGAAAAGGGTTTTCCAATTGTCCACACACACGAAATGTCCCGTTGTGCAACCGCAGCAAAAACAACAAACCGGACAAACAAGTGTTGTTGTGAATAGGAGAATTCTTGGCCGCTGAAACCTGGTTCAAGCTCAAGGAGAGAGATGGCAGACAGAGAGGAAGAAGAGAGTGAACGAGCACAAATGTGAGAGCAGAAGAACGAGCAACAGGCGGGTGGGAAAGGGAAGGGGCTCGCACCCATTGAATTTGTTGCACTGAGCCGCTCTTTACGCATGCCGCTGTCCCGCTCGCTCTTCTGCCATTCGGCAGGTGTCTATTATGGTATCCGTGTGTGCATGTGTGCGCGAGAGAGTGGCCGCGGCCTGTGCATGTTAGTACCGTTCTAGCCAACGAAACCTGAAGCGTAGCTATAATTTGGTCAGTCGCTTAAGCAATAAAAATGCATTGGAGCCACGTCTTCGTCTCAAGAAATAAAATCAATGATAATTAAAACGAGACAGTGGGACGTTTCAGGTGACCCTTGTCATTATCTCTTGTTTGCTGGCTTTTCTAGCCTCACACTCACACAAACCGACCCGACTTCCAGGGTTATTGCACTCTTTTTTTTCCAATCACTGTATCTTTTTGGTTTGTCCCAGAATATTGCACTCTTAGTTTGGCCAGGAAACTGAACTTATTTTGGTTGTAATTAACACTTTGGCGACTTGGAAGTGAACCCGACGAAAGCGGGACATTCTTTTTTGAAAACAGGTTACATAAATAGGTCACGCACCAACGATCGCAGAAAAGTGCAGCGCGCCGATTGCTCTCTATATAGTCCCTTTAGTCAGTCAAGCAACAGGCTAATAAAGTGGCTTAGACTTTTTGCATTGTGACTATCTGCTGGCTTCCTTGCCTCAGTTCACAGTATAACTTACACCGAAAAAGACCGAATACGCCAGCCGAAACGAAAGACTAGATCAGTGCTGCCAACTCGGGTCGTAAAAGAGCTTAACGAGCCTTTGGAAAAGCGATAAAAAATCTGATCGACTTTATTCTTACATTACATTTAAACAGTATAAAATTCAGCTTTATAAACAAATTTTAAATGGAAAATAGGATGCTAGCACACAACCGACGCGGCGACTTTTCTTCTGTTTCCGCACAACCGCCTTCGTTGAGTGAAATTTTGAAACTATTTTAAACTAGAGGTGCCACGCTATCGATGGCATTCTGCATGCACCATCGATAGTTTATCATTACCCAGCAGACAAAAACTTTGTTTATGATATATAAAACAAAAGTTTAGCGGCAAAACGTCCGACTCAGATTCATAAACGATAATAAAGTTAATCACCTGTCATGGGATTTTTTATGCAGCAAATGCTCTAATTTTCGAAACCAGAATAAGATTTGATTTGAGGACTTTTTACGACATCATTAGCGTGAATAATACTGATGTATTAATGTATTAATATATTTTAAAGTTTAAAAATAATTTTATATTTAAGGTATTTCCTATATTTTTGAATAATAAATAAATGACTGAATACTACGATGTTTCTTATTACAATGCGTTTTATTTAATAATATATCCAAGCTATAACTAGAAAATATTTTATTTCCCTACCTTTGCCTACACATCATTAAACTCAATATATATAAAATAGGGCCCTACCGAATGATATTTAGTTATAAACTTATTATTCTTTTTAATTTAATTTAAATTAATTTCAATACTGTGAGACCTCCAAAAAAATATGCATAACTTAGATTACAGACTTTTCCCAGAAATATTCCTCTGGTCCTTCAAGAAGAACGAACAGTATGTATTGTACAACTTCATCTTCAATATGACAAGCTCAAACTCAACTTATAGACTTGTCAAAAAAATTCGTAACTCTTTTTCTCATTATAGCTAAATCGACTCGCCTGATGATGCTGATCGAAGGAAAGACGAGCAACTAATATATACGAACGTTGACTTGTAGGCTTTCAAATGAAGCCGGTTAAGATACCACATTTCCTGACGTAGTGTTCTTCTGGGTGATATCAGTGGAGAGATTGTGACAACGGCCAGCATTGCTAGGTTTTATCAATAGTTCATGTTTATTGAAAGTTTCTTTTTCGTTTGGGTGGTCTGCGTGTAAGCGCATGCTCCACATGTGGCAGCAAATACAAAATGTAGTTTCGTGTGTCTTTACAATGTAATAAGAATATGTGGTTTTGGATTGGGGAGTTAGCAGAACTTCCATCGGTTTCCGCACTCGTTGCACATGACGAAGGTGGTCATGGGCTCGTCGGCGGATCGGGTCTGCAGCTGGTTGTAGGTGCAGTTGCGCTTCTTGCACTTGGCGCACTTGAGGAGATCTGTCTTGGTGCCCTGCACGGTGGCCAGTTGGGCATCGTTGATGGCCTCCTTGACAAACTTCTCGCGCAGCTTCTTCATCTCATCGCTGGCCATCTCTTCGGGTGTCATCTTCGCCAGCTGCTTGGCAGTAACAGCTCCGCACATAAAGTTGCCCCGCAGGCCCGGATTCTTTGGATCCTTAAGGTTTGCCACGCGCGATCTGATGCGGTTCTTGTACTTCATATCAGTGTTTTTGAACTCGGCATAAATGGCGTCCTCGAGCTCGGCAGCCATCTCCTCAGGCTCGCCGCAGCCCTCGGGCACCTCGCCAATCTTGAGGGCAGTGGCCAGCATCTCGCGGCACTTCAGACGAACTGCATCCGTCATCCCGCCGGAGGGAAAAGAACTCTGTGACGACGAGGCCTTCTTCTCCTCGCGCTTATCCTTCGACGAGCTACTGCTGCCCGACTTACTATCCTTACTAGAGGACGACTTGGCGGCGCTCGAGGGTTTTGCGGCACTGCTGTTGCTGTTCGACGAGCCATCCTTGCCCGCTGAGTTGTGGTTGGGCGTTACCGGGGCCGGGCTGGCCAAGAAACGCTTCCAGTTCTTGATCAGAGTCTTGGCCAGCGCGATCACCTCGTCGTCCTTGCTGCTTTTTCGGAGCTCGTTGACCGTCATGCCGATGCGAGTCTTGGTCAGTATGTCCAAGTTGATATTGAGCGTCTGCAGAGTCTTTAGTAGGTCCAAGGCCTGATCCTGTCCCTGTTAGGGGGGAAGAAATAGATATATTACTTGATTAAGCGCAGCTCCCGGCCTCCCAACTCACTGAACCATCACTGGAAGTCGAAATCTTGTCCATCTTCTTCTTAATCCGGAAAACTTCATCCTCTACGCTCATTTTGGTCGCCTGAATGTGCTGGGTAAACAAGGTGACAGAACAGAGGTTAGGTTACTCTTCATTTCGGCGTCCACTTAAAGAACTAATTCGTATGTTATGTTATGCCGGGGTTTAGTTATTACCTTTTTCCCTCCAATAAAAGTTGTTTACTATTTTTTTTCTTTCTGTATTCGCAGAACAGTAGTGCTGCAAAACATGGGTGTACTTAGTGTCGATTGGCTTTAATCGATGTTCTTATCGATGTTTCTTTCTCTGTCTGGCAACGCACCTTCTGAAAAATGTCAAACATCGATAGTGCTCCGATGTTTTGCCAATCGCAATCGCCCGGGCAGTGGTGTCAATCCCGTTTTTTTCCGTCAAATACAGCTTATTATTAAGCCTAGTACTCTGACGAGAAAAATCCGCTGTATAAATTTAGACAGCGGCCAAACACGATATAAAAAAAATGGTGTCGAAAAAAGAAGAAGAAGAACTTTTAGCCACGTCGATTTTTCCGGTACTCTGACGACGAAAATGAAGCCTGCGAAAATTGAATGGCGCTGCCAGATCAAGATAGTAAACAGCTGATATCGCGCTGTCTAAATATTTCATTTGATTTATTTAGACACCCCTAATGGAGGGAAAGTTGAAGGAAAAAGGTGGCATTGATAGGGGCTGTCAAGGGGAAGCCCATAATATGGAATTTAACCCACAAAGGACATTTTAATGCCATATTTATTAATATTTTTAATATTTTTTTGAATATTTGTTTACAAACAGCTGTCCAGTGTGACCAAAGAAAATCCTTAAACGCCATAAAAAGTACATTTTCATGGCATTTAAGGATTTTCCTTAATTTTTTTTGGTCACACTAGCTCGGTAGCGAAATAAACAGCGATTCCGCTGTCTAATTTAGACAGCGGATTTTTCTCGTCAGAGTACTAGGCTTTAAGTGTGATTGCGGAGACAATTTTAAAACAGCGGGCAGCGGGAATTCCAGCTTTTTTAGCTTAGGCAGTTTAAAATGTTCGTCATTATTTAAATTTGAAAATACTTCTTATATGCGATCCCTGGAATTGGCCAGAATGCCGCGCTTTTACGCAAAGCAGCATAACTGCTTCGATTTAATATTTTATACTTAAAATTAAAATAAAATAAAATATTATTTTTAAAAAATCAGCTTTTTTCTTAGTATTTTCTATTGGAACTAGGTTTTTTTAGCCTTTTTTTTTGTAGTCCAGCTTTTTTGCTCTGACATCACTGCGCGGGCTCCTTCTGCTTCTTCTTCTTCATTCTCCTTCCTCCTTCCTGCTCTTTTCTTAGCGTTTGCGCGACGTCTTCGGAGTTTCTGAGTTTTAGAGGTGTTTTAATAAGGAAGTGATCTTTCTTTTAGAAAACGCGGTGAGTAAAGTAACTTATTCATTGTGAATGGCCGGTGTTGTGAGCTATTGTGTCTAATACACTACGAAACGTTTAAAATAAAGAACGAAATTGTTGCACCGCAATCTGGAAACTTTGTCGCGCACTCAGTACGCCAAGTTATTGTGCTTTAAATCGGTAGTTTCGTTTAAAAGTGCGTACAATCGTGTAATTCTAAAAGAATACAAAATTGTATTGCAATTTTATTGCAAATTCCAAGTGAGCTTATGCAAAGAAGGCGGTGGGCTTCGTTCTACAAAAAAGTCCTGAAAACACGTTTTTATTAAACGTTTTTCAAGTGTGCAATTCCAAAGAACTTTTTCGTTTTCCTCTTTGCATTAAGTTCGCCTGTCGTCCATTTTGCCTTTGCTTTACCAGTCACCGTTATGTTTTAGGGTTGTCGAAGCGCCAAAATACGCTGCACGCCGAAGTTGTTCGTAGTGGTCTCATATTTTTTGAGTCATTGGCAACTCTTAAACTCACTTTTTTTGCTTAATTCCTTTTGTTTCTTCGTTCATTTCGTAGATTTCCGAGTGATAAAGACGTTTTGAAAGGAAGGCTGGACCGCTTGTGAACGTTTCTCCATAACTTTTGAAGCAGGTGAGTAAGAAGTGTAAAATATTGTTTAGCACAATCAAACATGTTAATGCAGGAGGTGAATCTATTGCCAGTGCAGATTTCCATTTAGAATTCCACTTAAGTTAAATTAAGAAGCGAAATTCAGATAATTTTTTCGGTTGCCAGGTGCATTTTCCATGTTCCCCTTCATTCTCGATTTTTTTTTTGCGTCAGCATCACCTTATTGGTGTTTGTGCATGTATTGACGCGTCTCAGAGTTATGCTTGGCTCTTCTGCTCGAATTCTCTGGCATTTTGTAAAAAAAAGTTGTAAAATTAATTATTTTGGGAAATTAATGTAATCTCTTTGGTTCCCAGGTGCATTTTCATGTTCCTTGTTCCCATCATTCTTGAATACTCCTCGCCAGTGTCACCTTGTTGGTGTAAATCCGTGTGCGTGTATTGACGCGTCTGTGAGTTAGGCTCGCCTTCTTTTCTAGAATTCTCTCCCATCAAAGTCAAATTGTATTTTTTTTCTCTTTATTGTTATCAAATAAATTTTCTTGTTTCCTTTTTAAACGAGCTTCTCAACATTTTGTTGCAGTTGAATGGTTTGTTTCTTTGGGTCAAAATACAATATTTCAAAAATTTCGTTTACTTTGTTCTTCTAAGTGAGTTTCCCTATTTTTTCTTTTGCTTTTTTGTTTGACATAAAATTGTTGCCCTTTCCATGTGGTAGTCATTGATTTAATGTACGTACGAATATATATATTTATATATATCATATAATTTATACAGTTTCTAATTATAGAAGCAAACAATTTTACAGGGATATCTCGTATTACCGTATTAAGATTTGGATTTCTCTTCCAACATGAAATCTTTGAAAGCAGTCTTCCACCTAAATATGTGGAGGCCTTGTAATTCTACTTATTGAAGGTTTATATATTTGATCCAATAGTAAGTCAATTTATTTTTTGTAATAATTCTTAAAATTATGTTTTGTTATTCCATATTTCAGTGTGTTCAGTTAGGTTTTTTCGTACAATAAAAAGTAGTATATTTGATGCATAGTTTGCTTTATAAATATTAAATGTACTTTTTTAATAGAATTTGCATCAAGAAACACAATTACAAAGGTTTTAACACTTACTAATCTTCAGTAATTTTTTTGTTTTTGATTTCCAACTACTGAGTTAAATAATTGTCCATTTTGTTTTCTTGTTTTTTTTTAATGTTATTATTTAACAAAGTTAAAATAATAAAAGGCGTATATTTCTTAATGAAAATGTATGTAATTTTTAACAGAACGAAGGTTGTATGAGTATGCAAATGCTTTTACTGTTTTCTTGGTGAAAACTATTTTCTTTTTAGTGGTGCTTTTTCCTCTTTAAGAAACAATCTAGCTGTGATGTTCTTTCAAATATTTATTTGCTTTAGGATTATTTTATTCTCCTTAATCACTGGATAGCAACTGTTTAGTGGGTATGATGATTAATTAATAATGGGTAACAACAAAAAAGAGGGGGGAAAAATCAACGACATTACATCAACATTATTTTTTGATGTAATAAAACAAAGTCTGTGGCCATTTGCCTCGTTTCAATTTTGTGGAAATCCTTAGCTTATGGTTCCAATGCAAACAGTGATTAAAACTCACAATCAGAAAGGAAGAATATTGTGAGTTGTCTGCCTGCCTGACTCTCTGACTAGTTTATACGAGGTGGTCATCTGTTTGATCGTGATTTCATGAATAAAATCTGATTAGTTGGCCACGCATAAACTATAAGATTGCTTTTATGTTCTCTTCATATATTTAAGAATATATGTATAATTTATTTCTCATGTTTGCTTAGCTTGTTTTTGTTGCTTTTGGCTTATATGGCGGCTACAATTGGGTTTGTTTCATTTTTGCTTTTCTTTAGGGTTTTCTTTGTTATATTTGTAATTTATAAGATTTCATTTTGGTAACCTGCTCCCAAGCCACAACAGCTCCTCCCAAGATTCCCAACATCAGTGTGATTGGAGGGAAGGGATTTAAGCCAGTGTGGGAAACTGACGCTCGTCGTTCACTTTGGGTGCAGTATTCTGTTGCCGTTCGAACCGTTTGTTAGGCCCTGGCCCGCTATTTTGGTTGTTGTTGCCTGGACCACGGCGATCGGTGGGCGGCCGATTATTGGGAGCTGACTGAGCACTACCGCCACCCTCATTATTGTTATGATGCTGCTGCTGTTGATGGCCCGATGAGGGACCGTCCCGCTGGCGGTCAACGCCGCGGTTACCGCCTCCCTCGGTGCGTGGCCCGCCGCCACCAATGCCGCCGGGACGTGGGCCTCCACGTCCACCGCCGCGTCCTCCAAAACCACCGGGTCCGCCACGGCGTCCGTCGTTAAAGTTAAACTGAATATCAAGGACGCGTTGCTGGCGGCCCACGCGTTGGGGATACATGGCAGGATCGTATTCAAGCTCCTCTTCGCTTTCGTTCTCTTTCTTTTTGTTGCTGGTCAAGACCACCATTTTCTTCCACTGCGACGTGTCCTCACCTGTGGACAAGAAAATTTTAATTGTGATATTGCCACTAGGATATTCTAAAAAATATGACGAGCACACAAACCTTCTCCGGCCTTGCGTATGTTGAAGGTTGGCTTGATGCGCTGCCCCTGCTGTGCTTTCCACTCGTCCAAGGTCAGCTCTTTGGTCTCTTCCTCGGCGGCCGTCTGCTGCTCGTTCTGTTGCTCATTGCCCGATTCGTCGGCCTTGGCGGCACCACCCTCTGCATTGTTCACACTGGTCTCGGTTTCGTTCTTGTTCACATCGTCAATGGCCTCCTTGACCGAGCCCCAATTGTGGGCACCAGCTCCATCACGCTTATCAACAGCCTTTACACCTGTGGGTAGTAGTGGAATATGAATTTAATTCAATATTTAATTACAGGTTGTAAATATCGTGGAGGAAGACGTACGCTGCTCTCTAAGAACTTTACGTTAACTAAGGTACAAATTAATTTAAAAGTGAATTAGTGAATTTATTTTAAATTAATTTTTTCAGCAGTGTATTTTATTTATTTATTTTAAAATTTCTATTGTAATTGTTAAATTTATGCACCTCGATTAACTTAAACGCCGAACTCATAGCAGCTATGCTTTGTCTTCCTACATGTTGTTAATCGGGAAAGGGAAGAATATAGCGTTGAGAGAGCCACGAACTATTTTTAACACGCTTTCTTCTTTCTATTTCTTCTGTTCTGTGTTCTGCTGTGTGCCTATTTTATGTTATGCTATGCTAGATAATTTTGGATATTCCAAAAATGAAATGGTTGTAGCAGCGGGAGGTAGAGACGGGAATATAAAAATGAGTGTATAGTTTTGGAGATTGGCAAGAGTATATTATCTGATCAATTACTTCGATTTAAATGATCAATAAGCTTTCTTGATGATAAAATAATAAAATATTTTTATCTACACCTCAACTTTATAATTTAATTATATTTCACGAAACTGTTCGATTTATGAATGAAAAAGTCATTTAGTCCACATAAAAAGTTGAATAAGTTATTTAAGAGTTTCCATTTTATTATAATTCTAGGAATTTCATTTCCCTTATAGGGTGGACAGTAAAAGGATTAAATATTTGAGACTCCTACTCTTCTACTCTCCACATTATACATATTTTTGGGTTGTCATGGTAAAGGATTTGGTTATATTTGTTATAATTTATAGATTCTTGTATAATGTCTATAAAGAGTTTGAATTTATCTACTCACCTGTTCTGTCTGATCCTGATTGGCGATCAAATTCACGCTTCCTGTTCTGGCCATCATTGTTGCGATTTTGGCGCTGCGGCCGATCGCCGCCAGCACCGCCGGCTCCTCCCTGGCCACCTCCACCAGGTCCGCGGTAAGGACGCGACTGCTGGCCATCGGTTGCTCCTCCGGCATTATCGCGGACATTACGGCGATTGTTGCGCTGCTCTCGTGATTCCACATTGCCGTTGCCATTCTGTTGACGGAAGTTGCTACTGCGCTGTTCTCTTTGTCCCTGTCCTTGTCCTTGTCCTTGACCGCTACCAAATTCACGTGTACGGTTGGAGCCACCTCCTGGCCGCGGAGCTCCCTGTTTGTTGTTGCTGTTAAACTGTTTGTCAGCGGACGGGGCAAGCTTCTTGCCATCGGTCTTGCTGAGAGCGTTGTTGGGCTTGTTCTCCTTCTCGGCCTGGTTTGGTTTCTTGGCATTGGGGGGTCCTCCGGCGGCATTGTTGTTCGACTTTGTCACCTTGGCGGCCGTTTTGGTGGCCGCGGTAGCGCCACCTGCAGCTGACGGCTGCTTCTTCTTACCAGCTGCTGCTGTTGCGGCGGCGGAGGCAGCGGCCGTCGGCGCCACCAGATTATCTAATGGATCGCTGACATCGTCGTCCATGAACAAGAGTTCATAACGATTTTTCCCGGCGCTGTCCATGATTTGGTTGGTGTGAGGTGGTGCTTTGCTTGCTGCGGCTGCGGCTGCTAATGCTATTCCTGCAAGAGAATTTTACACAATATCTCAATTGATTGATTTTCCCTTTTCGCTCGCCCCCCCAAGTTGGTCGTTGCTTTGGTTTCAACCTTTTCTGTCACGAAAAGGTGGCTTGAATTCGTTTAATTTATGCACGCAGAGTTCATAAAGCGATAGCGGGCCGAGTAACTTGGTTTTTCAAAATTTAACTGCACCTTTTATGCGAATTTTTCTTACTTTTCCGTTGGTTGTTGGTGGCTGTGCTGCTCTCTAACCTTAATTTTCAGCGTTTCTGCTTTGCCTTGCTGCTAGTATTACCTACGCATACTGGCGCGCGCGATTTCACACGCACATGGGTTCCTCACGCACACACGGAAAGAAGCCAGCAGCGCGGCCCACATGTGTTCTTGGTATACATAGAAAAACAGAAACTCACGTTTTTAGCCTTGCCGCTGCGAACGGCAATTTAGTGTTGTGTAGTGCGGCAGTGGGAGCGAGATGGAGCACTGGAACCACAAGCGAAAAAAAAAAAAATAAATAAAAACCCAAAATGCGGGTCTGTTATATTAAAAACTATACTAATCGATTACGAAGATTCTGCAACAACTACACCAGCAAATCCTTGAGCAAAAAAGATACAAAAATCACTTGTAGAATTTGGCAACTATGTTTTTTTAGTGCTTGGTATTATTTAAACTTTGGCGCCATGCCGGAAGGTTTAAATCTCGCGGCTCTCGAAGTTACTTGCTCTGGGCAAACAATTTTAGAAACTAAAATTAACTAGATTTCTTTGCATGTTTATTTCTTTGCAGAAGAAAAAATCAAAATGTCTGACTGGGAAGACGAGGTTTGCCATTCTTTATATAAATAAATGAATGAAAACTAAAGTAACTATTTACAGCCTACGACAGCTGGCGGTTCTGGCGATCAGCCTGCCAAGACTCAAACGAATGTTTCCGGATGGAGTGACGATGAGGGCAATGATAACAAGAACAGTGGAGGCGGAGAAAGGGGCGGCTATCGCAGGGGAGGTGAAAATTCAGGTGAGTTCCGAAGGCACCATGCCGACTTAAATAGTAATTAGTGCGGCAGATTTATATCAATTAAATGGTTTTAAAATTGAACCTCCGAAGGGGTTTAGATGATTTGAAATTAAATGATAAAATGGAAAACCCCTTTACGATTTAATACGTACAAATAACCATTACACGACATCTTTAAATATATATGGGGAATATATAATATAAAGTAAAAGCAATACAGTGATAATCTTAGACAATATTTTAATTTGTTAAAGGCGTTACTTTTGATTTTTTGTTTCTCCGCTGTGTTCTTCCATTTTGCGATTGTTCGCGCAGACCTCAATTTAGCCACGGAGCTACCGCCAATCCCGCCAATTGGTTGTAGTGAGGATGTTTTGAACGATTTCATAGACCGTCTTGAGCTCGACAAAAACAACACAACTCTGGATGAGGTGCGAGAGCTGAGGGACTACTTGTTTACAGCTTTCAAGGATTTGGTTATCTCTCAGTGGGCTAACATCGAGAGCCTAGATCAAGAAGAACGTGATCGAAAAGTACAAAAAATGCGCACAATGGCTGCCCAGATGGATAGCTTAATTATGGACGTAAGTAGACTTCTGGACGAGACTGAATTGGGAACATCACAAGAGCACGATGCATTTGTTCAGTTGAAACAAATGGGCATTCATTGGGAAGAAAATGGCCCGAATTTGGATACGAGGGAAACAGTTCTTCCGCAAACAACTCGGTCGAGAAAATCACGCCATGCTAAAAAGACTGTAGGTCGGGCTCTCCATGAAGTGATGTCGATTACAGATATTTACGAAAACGGCCGTCGCCTGGACGAAGAACCACAAAGTGAAGATGCTGCAAGTACATCGCAGGAAAGCTACACGGAGGTGCCTGCATCCGAGACGCCTCAAACCTATGGCTCTTCCAGATTTTCACAAAATGTAAGCGGAGGTCTTCTAAACTGCCACAAAATGAAGGAAGTAAAGTATGTAGACATACTACAACTGTCCAGAAGCGTGCCCTGGCCAATTGCCCCACCTTTTGTTTGGCCAGTTTACCCGAAATCCTACTATAGAATCCATGCTTTTACCGAACGACCAATGAAACGGACCAGGGAGCCACCACAAACTGGCAACCGAGGACCAAACAACACGAATAGCATACAGGCAAGCAGACAAATTGATGTGGCTAGGCACCACCGCTCCCATAACCAGGACCTGGAAACACCGGACGGAGCTTATTTTAGTCGATACGGTGCGACCCGTGATGAGGAGGCCGCGTGGTCAGCCGCTGGCGTAGTAGCGGCTGAGCCAGCATCATGGAGCACACCGATAAAACGACACAGCGAGCTTGGGTACTAACAACTATACTTGACTCTTTACTATTTCCATCTTTTTTCCTCTCACCATCTATGTAGTCTCGGAAACTTCCGCCCTTCTTGGTTTTTGTTTTATGGCCAAAAGTTTAAACATTCAAACTACGAAACACAACAAAATTTCTTTAAACAAACTCAAATCATAATTTAGCTGTCGTACACAAATATATTTGTGTTTGGAAGCTTGGAAATGTGCCTACAGAGCTACTAAATCAGCTTCCTTGTTTCAGACTATCAATTAGAATTCATTCGTGAAATACCAGGGATCGCAAGTAAAAGTTATGAGTACAAATTGAGCTGAAAAATGTAAAAAATATAGGCAAAATTAATAATGGATAATAAAATGTATTCTCCAATTTTTATTTAAAATTGATAATAAAAATTGAATCGTAATAACTTTTTGACGAAGCGGTGTATCTTAAAGATTGGCATACATAATAAATCTACGCTCCACTACCTTTGTATATCTTGTGCATTTTTAGTTATTACGATTAAAGTTTTATTTAAATAATAAAAAAAATGTAATTTCCAATTTTTAAGTAAAATTTTTTTATTTTTATTCGACTTTTATATACAAATAAAAAAATCATTTTTTTATATAAAAGTTGAATTATTTAGTAAAATTTTTTTGTTAACTTATTTTGTTTTTTAATTTAATTTTTGTTTTTAAATGTATTATTTTTTTAATTAATATTTTTTTTTTTATAAGAAAATAACTCCAATTTTATGATTTTTTTATTATTAGTTATTATTGGAGTTATATTTTAAACAGAATATCAATATATCTGTCATTACCGAACATGACTAAAAATCCTTCCCTTTCTTGATTTTGGTCTTGACGATATTTATTTTTTTTTAGGTTTCTTCTATATAAATGCTCTCTTTTGATGACACTACACTACACCTTTGTCTATTCTATTAAAAAAAAAACCTGCAAAACACTCGAACTCTCCACTTATACACCTACTACTGTCCCGATCCACAGCTTGTCGTTACCTTCAAAATTGAACTTGTCAATGTTTTTTGACGAAGAATTAACAACGCCAGCAGGAGCTCCACCTATGCCGCCAGAGTTTCCATTGGGGTCAGTTGCCGACAGCGGCGCTGTAACGATGATGACATGTGATAATGAGGAAACTGCTATCGTCGGACCTGCTGCTCCATCTATTTCGGAGGTGACTTCCGGCCGCCCGGGAGGAGGTACACCGGCCTCTACGCCACTGCATAGTTTCCGACCCCTGCTACCGGTCATCAACGAGGAACATCAACCTAGGATGCTGGAACTGACAATTAACTCACCCACATCTGGAGGGGCAACCTTGGCAGAGCCACCGGCTATTCCCTCTTCTTCGGGCAGGCAAGGCCGTGACTGGAATTCGATATTTCGTCCCCGCGATGAAATTATTAATTATTCTGAAGGATCGGCTATGCCCAGGAGGGCGGTACAGAGGCCTCGTCGTCGGCGTCGTGTACGCATTCCAGCAAGAGATGCCAATAACGTGGAAACGCCACAAGATCGAATTCAAGGAGAGGAGCAAGTGGTGGCCACAATAAGCAGTCAAGAGATAACCCAAAATTTTATGGCACAATTACTACAAAAAGCTACAGAGGCTGTTGGTTCTTCACAACAAACAATAAATGCTTTACGATTAGCGACTTCAGCTTCAGCAAATCCAACAACAAGCGGCAAGAATCCGGTACTGGATCAGATGGAACCACGAGAAATTGAAAAAAATAATGAAACTGCAGAACCTTCCGTGTCCAGGAGTCAAATAAGTGATGAGTTGATCTTTCAACAGCCAAGATGTCACTTGGAAGACACTACTATAGCTAATGCTACTAAGGAAGTACCGCAACAACCTTCCCTGGAACTAGAGACTTTTGCAGTTCCTCCTGGACTTAGTCATACAATTTCCCAAGAAAAAATAGCAGAGTTGGATACAACTATCGATATATCGAATATATCGGCTTTAAATTTGGAGCCACCTTGTTTCCCAACGATAGAGCCCATGGAAATTGACCATCCAGCTGCACAAGGGGATCCATCAATCATCAGTTTGGCTAATTTAAGCTTACCAAAAGATACATCAATTACTAGTTCGGCTGATGTAGGCGCACACGCCATTGTAACGGATGTGCAGATATTAAGGGGGCCGAAGGCGATGGCAACATCGTCGCGCCATCTCCCTGACGATACATCCAATTTAACCATAAGAGTAGTAGATCCGTCTGCAATTGGATCTAATGGTGGGGTGGCTTCCGAGCTTGTAGAGTTGGAGAATTCTCGAGCAGAAAGTTCTCTATATAATCGGGAATCAGTAGAAGACTTGAATTATATTGTGCAGCATGTGGATATGCTGCGTCTAAATATCGATCGCCAAAAGGAATTGTCTTTGACTACAGAGTGCCCTGAATCGCCGTCTAAACGGTCAATGCCTGCCGTCAAAGTCTACGATCACAAAATCTTTTTAAACATACCCGAAGCAAAGATTCGTATTCTTCACAAGATACTCGGTGCTATTGTTATGCATCCTCAGGTTGATATGCGAAGTGCTGATTTTGTTGGAAATCGCATGGATGTGTCGGTGACGTTTCGGGTGTTGCACGATCTGAAGGCGGCCAACATTGTAAATCTTAGCAACGATGATCGAATTTTTTCCCTAAAGTAGCGCATAAAAAGCAAGGATTACAAGAATAGATTGTGTTGTTAACATAATGCATATATATTTTATGTTCGTATGAGTAAGAAAAAAAGAAACGTTGGTTGTTTTAAATTACGTTTGAACACAATAGTGTATTCAGATTTTACTTTTTCCTTGATGAATTTTCTTAACGCAAATAAGAATATATTTTGTATTTTTCTTTTAATTACTTATTATCTGAAAATTTAATGTTTATGTTGTGCACATATTACAAGGATTTTAGTTGCATATGAGTAAAAAGAAAAAACATTGATTGTTTTTAATTTCGTGTAAATAAAAAGTATATTTTGATGTTACTTTACCCTGATAAGAATATATTTTGTACTTTTCTTTTTATTACTAACTTTCAAATGACAGTTTATGATGCGCATAAATTACAGAAATAAGAATATGATTTATGTTTAATGTTCGTATTCGTTTAATATGAGTACGAATAAAAAACTATGTTGCTGCTTTTAATTTCCTTTGAATAAAAAGTTCAGATTTTACTACACCTTGAATTTCCTTATCTTACGTTTATTTATGAATTTTTTTTTTAATATTAAAAAATGTGTAATATTTTGACATACAAAAATTGCACTTCTTAGGTGAGGAACGCCGTGGCGGTCGTGGAGGCGGTGGTTTTAATCGCGAGCGTGGAGAGCGTGGTGAACGTGGAGAGCGTGGTGAACGCGGCGAACGTGGAGAGCATCGTGGTGAACGCGGCGAGCGTGGTGAACGTGGTGAAGGTAATGGTTTTGAGCGACGTCGTCGAGGCGATGATGACGACATTAACAACAACAACAAGGACTTTGGGGAAGACGGCGAAAAGAAACGCGAGTTTTATATCCCACCAGAACCCACCAACGATGAGACTGAAATTTTCAGCAGTGGCATCACTTCGGGAATTAACTTTTCCAAATATGACAACATTCCTGTCAAGGTAACAATTTTTCTTGTAGATAATAAGTAAAGTTAATTTATATCCTTTTTACCTTTAGGTGAGCGGCGAGAATGTACCAAAACCAATTGGTAATTTTGATGAAGCCAATCTGCGCGGCATCGTTCACGAAAACGTTGTAAAGTCTGGTTACAAGGTGCCCACACCGATCCAGAAGGTCTCCATACCAGTGATTGCCGATGGCCGTGACTTAATGGCGTGCGCCCAAACAGGCTCTGGAAAAACGGCGGCCTTCCTTTTGCCGATCCTTAGCAAACTGCTGGAGGAGGCCCAGGACTTGGAAATTGGCAAGCCGCAGGCTGTCATTGTCTCACCCACTAGGGAATTGGCCATTCAGATTTTCAATGAGGCAAGAAAATTTGGATTTGAGTCATACTTGAAGATTAGCATTGTGTACGGTGGTACGTCCTTCAAGCACCAAAACGAGTGCATCACCAAGGGATGCCATGTTCTGATTGCCACCCCAGGACGTCTGTTGGACTTTGTGGAACGCACATTCATAACTTTCAATGATACTCGCTTTGTTGTACTCGACGAGGCCGATCGAATGCTGGACATGGGCTTCTCGGAGAGTATGCGGAAGATTATGACCCACAGTACTATGCGACCGGAGCACCAAACCCTTATGTTCTCTGCCACTTTTCCGGAGGAGATTCAGCGTCTGGCTGGAGAGTTTCTTAATAACTATGTCTTCGTGACTATTGGCGTAGTGGGAGGAGCATGCTCGGATGTCAAACAGGATGTGTTTGAAGTGAACAAGTTCAACAAACGGTCCAAGCTTATGGTAAGTTTTATAAATATATGTGTTGATATATTTAACTCAGATTAATGCCTTTTTATATTTTTATTTCTTAAGGAAATACTACGAGAGGATGCCAATGGTACCATCGTCTTTGTGGAGACTAAGCGTGGTGCTGACTTTTTGGCATCATTCCTCTCTGAAACCGAGTTCCCCACAACCTCCATCCATGGTGATCGTCTTCAGAGTCAACGCGAGCAGGCCTTGCGTGATTTCAGAACTGGCAAGATGAAGGTATTGATTGCCACTTCAGTGGCGGCCCGTGGTCTAGGTAAGTGATAGCGAGTTAATTCTTTCGAAGTTATTTTATGTCATTAACCTACTTAACATTTACATTCTAGATATCAAAAATGTGAAGCATGTGGTTAACTTTGATTTGCCGAACAATATTGCCGACTATGTCCATCGTATCGGGCGTACAGGTCGTGTGGGCAACAATGGTCGTGCAACCTCGTTCTTTGACCCGGATCATGACCAGGCACTTGCTGCCGATCTGGTCAATACGCTGGCTGGATCTGATCAAACGGTGCCAGATTTTCTGCGTCAGCTGAGCGGTGGCGGTGGAGGCGGTTACTCGCAATCCGCCTTTGGCGGAGTTGATGTCCGTGGTGGCGTAAGTAGAGCTTAATACCAGACAGCCAATAAGAGCAAGATGAGTAACGTCATAAGCATTTTTTTTTTGCAATGTCTCGCTTGCAAAAACAAAAACTTAAATTTTAAATGTATAGGCTTTCTGCATCTTGTTATTATATGATATTTAACCCTATACCGTCTGCAGATATATATTACATTTTATTTTTTATAATATCTTTATAAAGGGCAAAGCCATCACTTGCGCAACCAGCAACGAAGAAGACCAGGATTGGGACTAAAAGAGGAAGAGAAAAACCAAAAGACGAAATTAAAAAAAAAAAAAACATGACATTTTGAAACCAATGTGGCGGTATATATAAAAAATATGTATTAAAGCCAATCGTTTAAGTTTTTAATTTCCACGATGGAGATTATAATTTAATTATCTAAATATAAATAGCGAAACCTCAATAACTTGTATTATTGCGTCGGTAAATTTGGTAAAACCACGGATATACCTTCAAGTCTTGGTAAAATACCCTGTATAATCATATGTTTGCACTTATGTACTCATCCTTGTTGGTTTTGTTTCGTTGTTTGTTGTTTGTCTTTCCTTCTGTCTGCCTTCCTGCTGCTCTCATGCTCTCTTTCCCGCTCTTCAAGCCGGCTTTTCTCAGTTACTGCCTCGCCCTGTGACCGCCCCCCAAAAGCAAACCAACATCGACCAACAACAAATGTTGCTTTTGCGTTTGCTTTCCTTTGCAGAACAAAATCAATAACGCGAGAAACTCACCACGACGGGTCTAGCTATGCTCTTTGCGTGTTGGCTGTGTTCTCAGTCTCTGATGGCATTTCGTAGTGAGCGTTACATTCAACGCGTTTCCATATATATAGAAGGAAAAATCACAAAATTGTTTAATCGCTGTTCAAACTAAAAAAGAAAAAGAAAATAGGGCATTATTTATTCCGGGGCCTGAAAGTATGCTAACGTTATATTTACCATTTCCGTGGAAAATGTGTTGACGAACCGTGTGTGTGTGTTTGTGTGTGTTGTGACTGTGTTTAACCTAGATGCAAGAAGCGATTATGAAATAAGAAAACCATTTGGAATTTTATTTATGCTTTTACAAGCGGCTAAAAGAGAGCTTTTGAGGAGGGCTATGTATTTCGTTCTTCCTTTGTCTGTGCGTAGACATAGTAGTTTTTTTTTTGGGAACGGCCGGGGGTGGTTTCCACCCTTTCCCAGCAACTACAATAGCATCTTTTTAGCCGGCAATCTCTTGACATTTATGTATATTTACCCTTACTGATTGTTGAGTTTTTCTTCAGCATTCTTGTTTTTTGTAGCCTACTTCTTTGGGTCAGTTGATAAAATGATTAAAACTAGACTTTCCCAGTAGGCAAAAGAACGATGGTAACACGAAACTATAGCAAAATGTTTGTAAACGCATTTTAACTTATTTCTAAGCCGGGGGCTAGAAAAACAATTAAAATAAAGTTTTTAAAATCGTCAAACCAAAACTGTAAATCGTATAAAACAACTAAAATTAAAAATAGAGCAAACAGAATCTGATAAAGCATGAGTCAAAGTTTTGAAAATTTAATGCACGGCGAAGAAGAAGGTGGCAGAGATGGTGCTCCTTACTCGGAACGCCAATCGTCCGACGATATACAGGAGTCAACTGCAACAATAACAACGACAACAGAGACTACAAATGCCGGCGACGGTGGCGGTGGCGGTGGCGACGAGGATGATTTCACCGATGACAACAATTTTGAATCGAATTTGCGACGTCGCAAAGGCAAAATAATATCCTGTGCCAAGGAAACCATCGAGAACGGTGAGTGCAAAAGCAAATACTTAACCCCAAGGCATTTTTATATGATAGACATTAGATTTGTTTTCCAAAAGTTGGTCAGCAGTCTACATATTTTATAATTGTAAGAAATATTGTAGAATAATCTAAAGTAGTACAAAAAATCATGTTTAATATATTCTGATAAAACGCTTATATATTGAAATTAAATTGAGCCAGAAGGACGGAAATATAATAAAAAAAATAAAATACATATAAGGATGAAAGGATTGGAGGATACCTAGAATATTTTTGTTGTGATTAATTAAAGGAAGCTAACTTTAGTGAAGAAATTGTATTTGAAACATTTCCTTCTTTACAAATCCACTATAGATTCTTGTTAGTTCTTTTAAATTTAAAAGGTAAAACAAAAATATCTGATTATCCTATCGAGACTGTAAACTCGACCAATGGCTTACTTATAGATCTATCAATCTACTATCAAAGTCAGCTAAAATTATCGTCTCAGCTGGGGATGTTGTTAGAGATTAGGGACAAACAAGTCTGTTTTACAGCTTTGCAAACTTTTAGATACAATTTTTATTAGGCATGGTGATAATTTTAAAAGTGTTTTAAGATCTGTGGTTATTCCTATTTTCTAAAATTGTGCAAACACTTAATATGTAAATAAAAGCTGCAGTAAGCTAACAAATTCAACGCGATTTATAATATTAAAACTAGTTAATTAAATGTAAAATTTTAGTATTCATATTTTAAAGGATTTCGTTTCGCTTAGACTCACAAAAGTTCCAAAAATTAAATCGCAATTTGTTAGCTTGCTAAGATTGCACAACAAAATTAACAGCGTGTTGTGGCGTGTGTTTTCAAATAAACACCCTTACCGTCTCCTGTTTCCATCTTGCTCCCAACTCGACCCCAAATTGGCTCCTCATCAGCCGCCCACTTTGTTCGAGGGTGTTCAGGAAGTGCGCGGATTTACGTGTTGCCAAAATAGCAGACATGACTTTTAAACTTTACTGGCAATCTGGGACAACCGACTGTGTGACGTGGTGAACTTCCTCATGGGCCCCACTCGACAACTGGCCCCAATGTTCCATTAGCACCAACCCATTTTGACGAGAAATGCATTGCGTGCGTTAGACATTAGAAGAAATTTGGCGAATGGCGTTGGTAGCTCATCGATTTTTACCGAGTTCGTTGTACATAGCGTCTAGTAATGGAATTGAATCATACTTCGTCGGTCACATCAATCGTTGGCTTTGCGCCCCCATTTCTTTACGCTATGGGATCGCCTGCCTGCCTGCCTGTCTGTCTGTGTTTTCACTCGCTTTTTTGTTTGCCTTTGTTAAATATTGTTCCCCTGCCATTTCAATCGCTCTATCGGCAGCGATGGCTCCTTAAATTCTGGGTAATAGTGTTGTTCATAAAGTATTCAATTAAATCATATTGTTTTAATTGAATACTTTATGAATACAAAAAAAAAAAGTAAACTAAGTGAGTTATGAGTTGGCACGCCAGGAGGATATAATGACTTCTGCAGAAGTTGTGGGATACAAGGAGTATATTATTTCGTAATTAGTTGTGGTTGCTCTTTTGAGCAACACTTTTCAGATAAATACAGAAACATCTAGTCAGTGTCTTCATCATAGATCTCATTGAACTGGCGTCACCGATTCATAAAGATAGAGATAGATAGATCCGCGTTGACTGGGTATTGATACCAGCTTATCCTTTGCCTTTTTAAAAAGAAACATATATACTCTATAAACAATTTACCAAACAGATCCTTTCATAATATTTTGTAAAATGCTCGTGGTGGTATTCCCTTGAGCTTGGACAAGATTGAGTACAAAATCTTGCTATGCAAATGCTTGGCAAGTGTCGTGTGCACAAAGATACATCTTAGCAATAAGGCATCTAGCAGGATAACTGTGTGAATGGTCCTGCCCCAGGCATTGCTGTCAATCTTCTTCTTCTCTTCTCGTGCAGGATGTTTGGTGTGTATTACCATCCGCTGCTTACATAGTTGCAATATGCGAGTACTTTTGATGATGTGGGAATTTGCAGGCGACGAGGATGCGGTGAGGTGGCAGGTGGATTCATCTTGAGCATTTCGGATTTTGGTAAAATGGTGAAGTCTTCATCAAGGCATAAGTTCTCTGGGACAGTGCACTTTATTTCAATTTCCGCAGAATCATAATACTGTTATTCGATTTGATTGCCTGTTAATAAGGGATACAGATATGTATATACTCATTTTGACAAGTTACAAATAGAGCTTCAGTAATATTTATTTCCAAGCTTTTTATTTGACAATCTTGCCATTATTCGTGCTTGGATTTACATTGTTGTCTTGACAATACTCATGTGAAATCTTAGTCCTTAAAAAAAGTATAGAAATAGCTTAAAATACAAACAAGTCAAGGGAGCTGAATTGTTACCGTTTTCCATCCTGGCAGGATTTACCATTAAGTCGTCGACCGACGTGGTTACTCCAAAGTTCAGTTGAACTGCTATTCGTTTTCCCCCTTTTCCTCGTTGGATAAAAAGAAAAAAGATTGAGTCGAGAATAAAACGAAATGAACTCTTTGTCCGTATTTATATTGTATGGACTGGGTTTTTCCTACAAGTGTATTGGCCTCAGTCCAAAGCATACACAATTATTTATGTAGCTACAGTGGATCTTGGTACATTCGAAACACTTTACGAGTCATTTGATTTTCAGGTAATGGTTACATAAATTATTCGAGTACATTAAGACAAGTATTGGCATTAATTAAAACTATGCCATTTGATTTCAATAAAGTGCACTTCCAGCAGGACATTTGAGAGTAGTGTTTAGATTTTCGAATGGCCACTATTGAGGCTTATAAAAGCATGAACTGAGAGTAGTGTTTAGATTTTCGAAGGACCACTATTGAGGCTTATGAAAGCATGAACTGTCTTAGCTTAATGTTTTCCGGAAGCAATGAGGATTTAAATAAATCTACTCGGCAGCTAACACACGCGTCTCCAGTCAGCTTGACGTCGTTGATTAAATTTCAGTCGTCTTATTCCTTCATCGCGCTTATACAACAAATTATGTGATGCTGTGGCCCGCTTCCAATTTCATTTTATCGGCTAGGAGGTGGGTGAGAGGTCTGCCTTAAGCCGATTTCATTAATTATTCAACGCACTGTCCCCCCGGGGGTCCTCTACTGGTGCTGATTTAACTGACGAAAGCATTGGCTAGCACTTTCTTGTCGGATTTGACTTGGTTTGAAGAGGGAATAGGAGTCGGCCTTGGCAGTGTCGACTTCCGTCTGCGTCGACTATCTAATGAATAGTAGCTTGGTTTATGTTGATGGTCTATACTTCATGTCCTGTATTGCTTGAAAATGGTTAAGATTGTATTAAATTAAGTTAAGAAGGTTTAGGGAGAACATTTTTACAGGGAAGTCTTTAAGGACCTTTTTCTTTACCCTCATTGTTAAAGTGATTGAAAGCAGATAAAGTTATCGTAAAGCAATTAACTACTTACCCTTTTTGAAGTACTATAATCAAGCGTTCTTCGATCATTGGTTCTCTGAAAATATTTCCAAAAAAGTTTAGCTATTGTATATTATTTTTAAAGAATTAGCAGTATTAATCCTTCTTCCTGTTCCCCTGAAAAAACTACCGCTCCTTGATTAACCATGTCACGTTCTTTTAACTGATTCAGTTACTTCTGTATTTGTTTGTTACATTTTATTGGCCTAGCTGCGATTGGCAAATTCCATTCTAGGTTCACAATAAAGTACATTAGAGTCTGGCCAAATTTGTCATTCACCCCACCATGGTTGAATTCCCCAGGATGTATTCCCAGTGCTTTAAATGTCGCAGTTTTATTAGCAAATGTGTCCTAGGGCGTGTGGATACCATTGTGGTTAATCCTCCAATGAATGTATGTTTAGCATACCAAAAGTGGCAGTTGTAGTTTGTGCATTGATGTTTTATGAGTTTAATTTGTTTGTTGTCGGATTTTCAGTTATATATTCATTTACCTCAGGCGAATTTAAATATATCTAATTTGCAATGCAACAGCATTTGTTTCCTATTTACTACATATGTTTCAGGGCCGGCTCTAAGCTCGGAATAATTATCAGATTACGCATTACGTGATTTATTCAGCTGCGCAAATACTCCCGCATAGGTTGGTCGTGATTTAGTGTCGCGTTTGTCTCGTTTATAATTAGTTTCATATCCACCAAACGAATTATAAATTTGTCCTTAAAATACAATTTTAATTGTCAAATGGAAGTAATAAATGCGCATTTGTTGGTTTTATATTTAGAGACTAATTTCCTAGGCTTTGCATTTATCCTGAATTTTTAAGGGGCTTAAGGTCTTATTACTAACTAGGAGGAAATCTCACATAAATTCTTGGAATTGAGCTTGCTATAAATAATGTTTTGAGGATGGCTTAGGGTTCTGCTCCAAAAATAACAAATACCATCTTCTCTGTTGATGTCTTATTAATTATGCCGACATTTTCTTACAAAGGCAAATGGAAATAAATAAGTCATTAGTAAGGAAGGTCAATTTTAATGAAAGGATATCGGGTATAAAAGGGATATAAAACATTTCAAATGAAACTAGGAAGCAAGGTGAAAGTCTTCTTTTTAACAGTTAAATAAAAAATGAAATAAACATTCACTAAAGCCGAGTTCAAGGATATGCTAAAACCGACATCTCACCGACACATACTTAGAAGTAACTGCAACTGCTGAAATATTCATTAGAAATACAAAAGAAATCGATTTTTTGGAAACCCGCCTGTCTGCAACCCATTAACGAAGATAATAAAGAAGGTTGTGTGCCCGTAATGAGCTTGGTGAACTTGAAAAGAAACCACCATTATTATTTTCTTATCAAATGCAAACATTGACAAACAGCCAAAGAAACATTTCCAGTCTTCTGCAGGGGCATGTGTTATTAGCGAAATGTAAGGTAAACACACTGTTGAAAGTCAGAAGGTCACGGCCCTAATGGGGGTAAGAGGTTTTCCTCTGCTATCTGCCGTCGTGCAGCTTTAAAAATTTACGTTTTCTTTCCTGCAGTTTCTTCTCCTTCTAACTGGGATGCCAAGATAGAGGCATAATTAATAACGACCAAACTGGGTTTCTCTCTCTCGAGTTTATACATTTAATATTTAGTTAAACAGAAGTTTTAACTTAGCAAAAGCCAATAATAAGTCTGATTTATCTAAAGAGACTATTTCCGAGAAGGTCTTTCATGTCGCACCAACAATAATAATTCCGTGCAAATAGCAACCTATGTATCTTTGAGAGCAATTTAAAAGCACTCGGTGAGTTTTAATTTGCATCTATTCTCTGTTGTGCATTTTCCAGCTTCCCGCCAATTACGCCGCAAAGTGCCCTATGCCGGTCATTTGATGACGCCGCGACGCCTCTGGCTTAATAAAATTCCCACACAATGTGACGTGGTTATTGAATTTCCCGAGGATGCACCCAACGAGGCACTACGCTGGCTGCTGGCACGCATACGCTCCCAACCACCGGCTGGTCTGGGTCTTTTGGTCCAGGTCAAGGCACACGAGAGCACGCGGAGGAATGCTTTCTATGTCAGTGCTCCCGTGAATGTGTAAGTTGATTCTTCCTGCAGGGGCTTTCCTTAATTAAAAAGTTTTTCTTTTTTTTATATGTGTGTTAATTTTAAATCGAGCTTTATGTACATACATACACTGGCAGTTCCGCGGGCTTTGTGGCTTTTACTGTTCAGTGGCCTAATTAGAATATCTTATATTTTTATAAGCTTATTTTCTTGTAATGGAACTTGGAACTTTGGGTAATTGTAGGGTTTTTGATAGTTTGTCTACACCTTTTGAATTTTCATTATTATTATTATTTATTATTACTTTTATTAATAGACTTCAAAGTGTTATCTTTGGTTTTCTTTTCTTTTGTTTGGGATAATGAGAACTTATTGTATTTTATTATTCATAAAGATCATTTAATCATAGTATATATTTATATTTCAAATTTCCTTACTCTCTACAGACTATTTAGAGCCGCCGAAGAAGCCCGCCTGCCCAAGCGTCTGCGTCCCGATCTAGGCGGCGCCCTCAGAGAGTTCACCACCCGTGAGAGTCATTGCTTCCAGCAGCTGCGTGGCGATGTGGGAAGTACCGTGCTGTTCACCTCTCAGGAGCGCCAGTGGCTAGTGCTGCAGGTCTTGCAAGGTCTGCGTGCTGGCTGCAGTGACATCGATGCCCTGCATGGGCGGGCGGCCGTCGCCGAAGGACAGAGTATAATGGCTGCTTGGCAGGATTCGGGCCTGATAATGCAGGTTTTCCCTCTCCACGAGCCCAGTTCGTTGACACAACTTCAGACGCATTGGGTTAAGCAGATATTCGCCCCGCAACCATTGGGTAAGTCATCTTTTAAGTATGAGCTAGGAAGGATGGAGATCAGAGCCAAAAAAAAACGCTTTCTTTGTACACTTCCTCATATTCCCAAATATTGTTATTTTCCAGATGACATTGCTGCCTATTTTGGCGTTAAGGTGGCCTTATATTTTGCCTGGTTGGGACATTACACCTGCGCTCTGGGCGTTCCAGCTGTTTTTGGCACTATTCTTTACTGCATTTTGTGGGGCAAGGGTCAAACGGCTCAGGATATGGGCCATGTACTCTTCTCTCTGTTCAATGTGGCATGGGCTTCACTGTATCTAGAAGCCTGGAAAAGATATTCCGTGGAGTTGGCTTTTCGTTGGGGCACTTTATCAACGCCCCCGGAGCTGCTGGAACCGCCGCGGCCCCTGTATAAGGTAATGTAATTAGAGCAGACATTGCATGTACGATTAATTATTAAAATCGATTTTAGGGTCCTTTGGTGGAGAACAATGTTACGGGTCGCCTGGAACCCAAGGAGGCGCCTGCGTGGCAGCGTCGAGCCTTTCGCTACCTTGTTAGCTTTCCCATCATAGGATGCTGTCTGTGTTTGGTTTTTGCTGTGATGTTTCTCATGTTGCGATTCCAGGTGAGTTGGCAACGAATAAAATTAAGAAATATTCAGCGGTGTGTGTTTGTGTAAAATGATTTTAAACAAAATTAAATACCCTTGCAAATATTGAGGTCCAGTAAAGGAAAAAGTTATTCATTTAAGAGCTAATTTCTTGTCATTTAATCGCGCAAATAAAGTAAGCATATTTTTAGCTAATTTTTTCCAAAAGTTTTGCCATAAAATGTCGATGTATTGGTAATTTATCGATATATAATGGAAAAGTTGATATTTCAAGGTTGGGATATCTGCCGATACAATAAATCGATATCCTGATTAATAAATCGGTCCAAATTTAAATATAAAATGACACTTAATAATATCGATATTATCAGTACCGATATTTTTCGATATTTTTAGTTTTGATGCCTCAAAATATAAGATATATTCAACTAAAATAGAAAACAAATTAAATAGTTCGAAGTTCAAAGTTTAAACAAAGGAAATAAAAATAAAATTATTGAAAATCTCGCAATTTTAAGAAAAAAAAAAACGTAGGAAAATTTTAATCATAATGTTTTTTTAATTTACAGTTTTTAAGTTTATTACCAAAAAAGTTTTTTACTCGAGCTTTTCGCCATTTAATGTTAGTGTTTTCTATTTCAAAAGTCAGTAGAAAGATTTTGTTTTAATTTACACTTACTATTCACCGCGTAGTTAATAATTGGGGCTCTTTACCATAACGTGCTTTCTAGTATTTTATATTTGCAATAACATCATTAGCTGTAATGTTGTTTATGGGCCAAACAAAAGGGCCTCTACACCATCAAAGCTTTATTTTTGTTTGCAAGGGTATGTATGTGTGCTGAGCACTTTTCGATCACGCCGTTCGTGCTTCGGCTGAGGCCACTCGCACGAGTGTTACACGGTGCGTATAATTTATTTAGTTTTCACGATGAGCAGCTCGGCAATTTGTGTGTGCGGGTGTGCGCGTATGCGTGTGTGAGGGTTTTCGTGTGTCGCCTGTTTATCAATTATCGTACACTTCGTTACCTGTTCACCACAGTTGTAGTTGTTCTTCTTGTTGTTGCTCCATACGCTCCACGAAATAAACACAATAGTTTTAACTACCTTGCATACACACCACGCACACACAAAGTGGTTTCGACTTCCGGTTGTTAGCTGCCAAGCCTTAACATGGCTCCATTTTATGCATTTTACACAAAACATTAGTTCTTAGTTCTTTAAGCTATCCGTCATTCATTTATTTCGATAACTTTGGAAAAAAAACTCTGTAAAATTAATTGATGTATCACTCATCTCACGCATCGTTGAATTGTTTTTTATTTTTTCTATAATAATTTTTTTTGTTTATTTTCTGTTGGTTTTCTTGTATGGTTGTATACTTCACAGGATTGGCTGGATCATCATAAAATACCAGATCGAGGAATTGCTCAATGCATGTATAATTTGCACAAGGTTCTTATTAATTTGTATTTTACATTTAAATTATTCAGTATCTATATATGTATCTATGTTATCTCTCTATTTTTTTTGGAAAAACATATTACAAAAAGTTGGTTAATATTATTAAAATGTTACAGATTAAGTAATTTGGATCAAAAAACACAGCAACCAATTTGTAGGAATGACATATCGATAATTTCTGATTGATTTATAAATATTTACCGAGAATACCAAAATATAAATTGGTTTTTTCTCACTCTTGCACTGTTCACCAAGCACTTTATCATAAAAAGTATTTTCACAATAATTCGTCTCAGGAAATGCAAAAGAAAGTCTTATAAAAGGATGATAAAATGCCAGGAGTCTTTAATTCATATTAAATGTTTATTCAAGATTTCTTTCCATAGCTGGAAAATAGTTTTAATAGAGTTTGCTGGTAGAAAGAACACCAATACGATAATATTTTTCGACTATTCTTAAAGCTAAGCTTAAAAAATACCCAAGAAGACTTCTAATGAAATCCAGAAATAATTACACAATTGCTCCTAATTGTGTTATTAATCCTTGAATATATAACGCGGAAATAACGAAATCAAATTGAATGCATAAATATTTAATAAGCATTAGCAGAACGAGGAGGAGTAGGAAAAGGTACAACGCAGAATGAATAATAATTGCAGGTTAATTGGGGAAACACAAAGCGGAAATAACAGAGTTTAATAATAAAAAGCTCAAGGACCAGTGGACTGTGCTGATTTATTTCAATTTTGTTTTATTTTATCCTATTTTCCATAGGACTGGTGGGACTCCAAGCTGCCCGAGGATAGTGTCTTATGCTGTCTGAGTGTCATACCCAAGGTTTTGCTGGCAGGAGCCATTACCCTGATGGACGAGGCCTACTTTAAGTTGGCCGTTTGGCTCAATGACAAAGGTAGTTTTGTGCATTTTTTAGGGTTAAAAACTTATTAATTGAGTTTTATGATATTTCAAAACAGAAAACTATCGCCTGCAGTCGAAATATGAAAATCATTTGATAGCTAAAGTGGCACTTTTCCAGTTCGTCAACTCGTTTTTGTCTCTTTTTTATATAGCCTTTTACTTGCGCGACGAGGACAAGCTCAAAGAGGTGTGTATTTGCTACTTCATCTTTTTACAGGTGCAAAATATTCATAAAATATCAATTTGTTCTAGCAATTGGCTGGCCTGCTCATTTCCCGCCAAATCATAGGAAATCTACGCGAGTCGGCCATTCCCTATTTCGTGGAACAGTGGAAGCTGGCCAAACTGAGCTTCAATATGTGGGGTGCCCTGAGTCCTACCCAGAATGTTACTCGCAGCCTGGCGGAAGAGCTGGCCACGGCTGAGGCTGAGCTCAAGGCAGAGGCCAGTGAAACGCCCACAAAGACGCATCAGCCGGAGTCTACCAGTAACCGTAATATTGGCCAGGCTGAAATCGAAAGCTCGTTGTACAAGGTGAGTGGCTCAAAACCTTTGAAATTTTACGTTTTTTTCAGTCTTTGATTTTCTTACAACTAGTATGATGGCACCTTTTCGGACCATTTGGAGATGCTGGTGCAGATGGGCTATGTGGTGCTCTTTTCGGCCGCCTTTCCTTTGGCTGGAGTTTGTGCTTTGGTCAACAACCTGATGGAGATTCGATCGGATGCCTTTAAGCTGGCCCACGTACACCAGCGGCCATTTGGGCAACGAGTGGCCAACATTGGAACCTGGCAGAACGCTCTTAGCATCCTGTCGCTTGCCGCTGTCATTGTGAACTGCGCCCTAATTGGGCTCTCTGGTCAGGTGTCCAGGCTGTGGCCGGGTTTGACGACAGCGCAGACAATCATTCTAATTGTCACCCTGGAGGTGAGTTCTGTACTTTGGTCGATATCAGACTTCTTCTCTCAATATTCTGGCCTTGTTCTCATTTATGGAATTAATTGTTTTATATATTTTTCATCGAATTCACAGCATATTATGTTGGGTCTGCGTCAGGCTCTCACCTGGCTCCTGCCAGAGTTGCCTTCCTGGCTGGCAGCGGAAATCGCCCGCGCCGAGCACTGCCGCCGGGAAATGCAGTGCAAGGGCACCTCACCGCGACCCACGCCACCCACCCCGCAGTCTACCACATCGACGCAGGAACAGGAGTGTGGAGTGCCAGCGGAGAGTGGCGCAAATAGTACCCGGGATCAGTCCATGGAAAGTCAGGTGGCTGAGGATATGCTGCTCTACGGACAAGAGTTCGGTGGCTATGGAAGGAACATCGAGGCAGATGTCAATATTTATGAGAATCGCGATTCATCACCTGATTCGCCGCCCTCGCAGGTGAGTGTTAAAATTAAAGAATCGGAATATATTTAAAGGTAAACTGATTGGTTAATCCTTTCAGACTAGCACTATACTTATTAGGCCACTGCATGAGTCAACGCCACCGCAAGGCGGTGCCTCGCTCACCAGCTTACATCAGGATGGTAATGGCGGGTGAGTTTCGTTTTTATTACAATAATAATAATGAGGAAAAGAGTTTCTTGGGAAACTAAGTACTTTGCTCACGCCAATGTGCCGGGGTAGCCACCAAGGGCTAACCCCCAACTCAATTAACATGCACACCAGTTCACTTTTAACTTAAAGCTCTTAATACTTATACAAGCCTTCAGCTTCAATCATTTTGATTATTTTAATAGAAGTTTGTTCTTTCTTAAATTGTATTTTTAATTAGCTTCCTTTTTAAAATTTTTAATAAATACAAATTAAGCTAACTAAAAATAAAACTATACATATATTATACATTTTAATAAATTTTTAAAATACATTTTTACATTTTTTCTAACTTTCCTCTCACGCTTTTTATGTGACCTCTCACAGTGCTTCCGCCAGCACGCTAGCGCTGAACTCTGCCTCATATGCTGCCCGGCTGCAGTCGATGCATATTCAAGAAATCCCACCATTCCGAAAGAAATCCAGCGATTCCGCTGATCATACTGGCAGCAGCACCAGCAGCAGTCCCCAGCGCACAACGATGCGTCAACTATCGGCGCAACGGGAGCCCCAGCAGACGATCCCTGAGATACCACCGTACAAGACGCGCAAGATATCTGCGGAGAGTGCTATGCATCTGAATACGAGCGTAAGATCTGCACGAAAGACTGTATTAGGTCGATTTCCCGTGTTCCATTTTGATCAAATTGAGGAGAGTTTAATTACTGTAGAGCAGTGAAGCCTAGGCAAAGCATTGGCATGTTATATCTGCATTTATGTGACTAAGATTGTGGTGTGCCAATGAGCAGAGGCTGGTCAGGAAAGTTGGCTTACTCGTGAGTAGTCGGACCTGTGGGTAACACTGCTCTAGAAGTGAAATTCGTAAAAATTGATCATAAAGTATATTAAAGAGAATATGTTCTAGCCTAAAAATGAGAAAAGTTTAAATTGTTTAACTGCAACTCTTTATATTTAGATCGAAATGGAATTGGGTCACATAATATTTTGTAAACGGGAATTTCACCATAGTTTCCATAGTAAAAAGATGTAATTTGTAGCTGCTAAATGTCCTGTGTGTGCGTCTGTAGACTCTAGCATAAACTGTCAAAAGCCCCGATAGTTATGCCCTTTCTTACAGTCTAAAACTTTCCTCAAAAACCTTCACTTTCACTTTCAATTTCCTAAGCCTTTTCAATAGAACATAAAAATAATTTATATTGCATTTAATAAGGATTTGTATTTTAATGAGATCACGGGATGTATTCAAATTTTCAAAAGTATATGAACTTTAAAAGGTTAAGAATAGAGAAAGTAATAATAAATTATTCTACGTAGGTATATCACCAAAATTACAAATTTTCCTAATGAATTCTACGAAAATCAGCCACTACTTATCCATTCAAAATAAAAATAATATACAGTTTAGTTAGTTTCTGACTCTACACTTTAGTTTTTTTGGGCAGCAATGATGTTACTTATGAGCACATTAAATGAAATGCACACCACTCACCCACTTTTAAAGGAAATTAAATACCTAATCGAAACTCCCGCTCGACTTTTGTCATTAAAGGACAAGCTACACATAAAGCTTCACGCACCCGAATGGATGTCTCGTTTAAAAGTCAACGACAATGCCAATCTGCATAGAAGCATAGATTGCATTGCAAAGGTAGCGATGAGATATACGTACTACTCACATATACTAGCCCTCATATATATATTATATACAACCGGATGCATATAACTAAGAATAATAATGTTTTTGTTAATTGATGTGTCTTGTTGGTGTGTTTTTTCGATGGCAACTGCAGGATCAGTAGAAATGTATAAATAGTCCTTTCATATACAGTTATAACCTCGTTACAAATCGCTTTTATTGGAACTGAAGTTGGGACAGGGGACAAAAGTGCAACCAAATTTGATTTGGCATGGCAGAAGCTTCCGAACCACACAATACCATGCTGGCTTCTTAATCACTCACCCAAAAAAACTCACTAAGAATGGCATGGACTCTTAGCTTCATACACCGACACACTACCAGACTCCTCCCCCAAAAGCTTTTGATGTCCGTAGACCTCGAATATATGTATATATTTCTTTTTGTAATTATTGAAAACAAAAAACTAATTATATTTCTTAAACTTAACCCTAAGGAGCTCGGCAACACCTCAGGCCCCGCCGATATTTTAAAGCCAGCTCCATCATGGTGCAATGTGGCCATGAAATCGGGCACAACTGGAATACCACAAGCGCAGCAGCAAATAGTAGCTTCCTCTTCATCATCATCGGGCGGCGGTGGCAGTGTCTTCAGTCCCAGTGGAGCTACTGGCGGGGGCATTCCCAGTTCCCAGTCGAGACCCAGTGTCGGTGCCCTGTCCAATTCCTCATCCAGTTCATCTCAAAAGCAGCAGCAAAAGCAGCTTGCCAAGGAGGAGAAAGAGCGTGAAAAGGAAAGGGAGAAGGAAAGAGCCAAGGAAAAGGAAAAAGAAAAAGAAAAAGAAAAAGAAAAAGAAAAAGAAAAGGAAAAGGAAAAGGAGAAGGAGGCACAGGCGGCAGCCACAGCATCCACATCAGCGGGAAATACAGATGATGAAGCAAAGGGTAGGTGCAAAGATATTATTAGCTATAAATTGAATTATAACTTTTCCTGTTTCCGTTTTTTAGCCGCTGAATTGGCTGCCAAAAAATCAAGGCTTAAGCAGAAGCTGGTAAAGAGTGCTCGATCTGTGGCCATATTCTCACTCAAATTGAAGGAACGAAGACAGCGAGAGGCTGAGAAGGCAGCCACCATAGCCGTAGAGCATGCCAAGGTAAGACTTTAGAATATATATAACTTTTTTGAATATAAGTACTAACAACTAAAGATAGCAATATAAATCTATATATCTTTGATCATCCCTACTAACAACCTCTATCTAACTTTAAGGCTCTGGCCAAGCTGCCCATGCCTCAGCCAGTGGGCGGTGAATTGTCCCTGATACCCATCGAGCAACTAATACAAATTGAGGACATTAAGCCTGTACTTAAACCCACAACGACATCCGGAACGACAGGACCGACATCTTCAAGTCAAGCCGGATCTTCTATGTACCACCCCCAGCATCAATATCCGCCACAGCAGCAGCAGCAGCAGCAGTATCAGTATCCGCCTTCACATGCACATCCGAACACGGATAATTAAGCTTATAGCACACAACGATATCGCACACTTTGTAAATAGTTTTCGATACACTCCCCCCCCCACCTCACCCCATTTTGAAGTTACTGATGATCATAGGTATATGAGCAAATTTGCTGAATGTGTGTCTTGTCCAGAGTTGGAAGCAACTAATTTATAACATTTTAGAATAGAAGTAGGCGAATTAAGTTACTCAATTGACAAGTGTTGAATGTGTTTTGTAAAATAATTATGTTCCAATTTGAGCCAGTTTTGTGTGGATAAAGTTTAAAATATCGTCTTTTGAGAATCTAATAGACTTTAATATACAAAACTGCGTAATGAGAAGATGAAGATATTCATGATTATTCAGCAGTAGAAGTTTTGCAGCTGAATAAGTGGTCCTTAAGGCTAGTGCTCAGATCAATGATTATAGAAATGATTACATTAAGGATGACGTTTGAAGGGTTATTTTTTATTTCCTTATAAACCGTATTAAGTATGTATTTTTACAGAAAAAGCTAAAGACTAACGAAATGTTTTATTTTTAATAAAATTATTTTTTCACAAAACACAACTGATTAAGCAGCAAGAAGTTAACTATCTGTGCTGACGAAATATATCGATCTGAGTACTAATCCTTAAGGGAAATGCTAAATATTAAAAGTTTAGAAAGACAAGTTGTGAAACGAATTTTTGGTTAGCGTATTAGAAGTTAAATGTGTTTTTGGTAGTAATTGTTGTTTAGAGATTAGGCGCAAAACAAATTTGTTGACTAATGTTGAAATAGTTACGTTTTATATTTACGTTGCCAGTGAGTATTGCATAATATATTATAAAATAAAGTCTCACAACGTAAGCCATTACACGATCAAAGACAACACTGTGAGAAAGTATCGTCCATTGTTCCTTCCATATACAAGGATAACGTCTTCGCACTCGCTTTTAGCTACGATAAATCAGTTCAAAATAAAAACGAAAATATTTTAGGAACTGCAGCTTAACCTCAACGAAGCAAAACAAATATTTTCAATCGTTTTACTAAGTACTCGCTTGATCAACGAACTTCACCGTTTACACTTAAACATTGCTGCACTCAAACACTCCTGAAAATGATATTTGTAAATATATTTAAGATAATAAGTGTAATTGAATAGATGTATGCAAGGTACACTTACGTAACTATAAGTGTGCTCTTGTGTTTAACAAAAAAACCAAGCCCAAAGTAAAGCAATTAATTAAAAATTTAACAGAATGCGTGGTCACTTATTGGAGGATTGGATTCTGAACTTGGCTAGGCGAACGAAGGAATTGTGGAATACTTTTAGGATTAGCTTACATTATTCAGGCTACTCACTGTGATGTCTGGCAATGTTCGGGTACTTTGCTTGATTCATGAAACACACAAGAAATAATCATGAACACTCTGAAAACCTAATTGGGAAATATAAATATTTAAGAGACAATATTATCATTTACAGCTCTGATAACCTATCCAAATCCTTTCTTTCTTACAGTTTTATTATCGTTTTAAATTACAAATCTAGTTAATATGATCGAACTTAAAGTAAACATTCCCCTAAACCAACACTCAAGCAATCACTAGTATTCTGTTCATGTGGCCAATGTAATATGCAAATCCTGTACACGTCTCAGATAAGCTCTTGCCTTAATTAAAAGGGTCAAGGATAATGGATTGTTCAGGGTCAGCTGTGGAAATTTACCAGAATTGATTGCACTTGTCACTTGCATCTGTCTGGCGGTGGGTTAATCATTACGTTTAAATCAAACAGAACAGCTAGTCCACCACAGAACTCGATGGGTACAAGTGTTTGGGCTTTTTTTTTTTTGCAACAACATTTTTCATTTTGTTTTATAGCCAAGCTCAACGAATGCTGGACGCAGGTCAAGTCAGACCCTGCAACTCCAACTCCAGTCGAAAGGGTCCCTCTCGCAACTCCACGTACAAATCTGTTACCTCAGACCCCATGCCTTGTTCATCGCCATCAACACTTGTCATTGTTGCAGGTGAGCTGAGCTGAGCTGCCTGTAACTGATTTGAGTTGACTGATAAAATGTCTGGGCTGAGTAGTCGTTGGTCATTTGCCAGCTTAACAAACGCACATCTCACGTACGGCTAATTAGCGCGCGCTTTAATGCCTCGCTCCCGTAATCCCCAGCCCTCCTCTCAGCCTGGAGTGTTGCTCCCTCGGTGACTGACTGTCACCCTCCTTTGTCCCGAAGGCACGAGTCGCATTACGAATGCATTATGTCTGTGTGAGTCTGTATTACTATTCGGTTAAATTTTTGCCAACTTAACAGGTCTACAGAGTCTGTAATGCGAGATGATCACCTGGAATAAGTTCAGATTCCAAACAATAATGGGACAATTGAAAAATAATTGTTATTAATGAGCAATTTATAATTTTCGGTTTCTTAATTATATGTTATATATAAATTAATAGTAAATAAGCAGGTAAAAGAATATGATATTCCGGTGGTGGAAACCCAGGGGCTTCTCGAGCGTTAGAGAGAGTGCTATAATGGCTAGACACCTGTCCCCTAGGACAAAAAAAGCACAATTGTGGCTGGTTTTTGTGCAATTAATAGCTATGCTAAATATATCCTTTCTATACTCTTACTAAATATAGATATATTCACTTTATTAAGCACTGAAAATTTCGGATGTCTGTTTAGATTCAACAATTTTTGCAAACCAAAAACAAAGATTCAACAATTCAAATGCATTGCAGTTAGGAATGCCAAAAATCGAGACTCAAATAAACGAAAAAATTATCAATCAAAATGTCCAGCTTGAACATAAACCAAAAGCCATGCAAAAAGGTGACATCAAAATAGTGGTTTCACGACGATCCAAGAAAGGCACTACATACGCTGCCGTGTAGGAAACCATAACGAGCTATAGCTGAGTACTTGCCTCACTGGAGATCGTGAAGGTTGGTGATGATGACCACGATAGCATATATGTACTGATGGAAACAGACAACGCTTTATGAGCGATATTACTGTAAGATAATGAGCAGCAAGAGGCAAAACTAACAACTTTTTGGGGCGGTGTCTGAGACACAGGTTGGTGAAATCTCTCGGAGTCTGTGTCTCCAGCGTGTGCACCTGACCCGAAAATGTTTCACATTGCGCGAGTTACAGTTAAACGCCATTTTTCCATTGAATTTCGGGTGTTACCTTTTTGAAGATCTCTGGTTCCCGGCGAGAAAGCGAGGCTGCGAAGAGAGACTGTGGAGCTGGGGTCCCATCCAGTAGCCACCAATTTGTCTGTCCGAAATGGTTGGATGGGCCATTAATATGGGCAGCGATGGGGAAGGGAAGATGGGGATGTTCATGCCCTCGAAAATAAAATGAAACGACAGATACGGCCACGCCTCGAGGGCGCAACGGTAAATGGCCCCCAAGACTGTGTTTCGGTATTTGCGTTTTTTTTTTGTTTCGTGACTTTTTAGAGTTTAGTCAGAGGGGCGAGTTGCGAGTTGTGGGTCTGACCCATGGTTTATTCACCTGTATGGCCATAGCCACTGAGAGCTTAAATTAAAATTAAAATTGTTATAACATTTTGTTGGTGTTGACGCCGCTGCTGTTTATCTTAATGAAACTTTTTAAATCCTTTTTAAGAGCTTCGCTCGGTTTTTGTCGGTCGGAGCCATAAAAGCATACGCTGTATATAGCACATATAGAGTCCAGACCCACTCGGATCTCTTTGATTTAAATGCATTTAATTTTGAGGCATGTGAAAATTAATTACATTTAATTAGCCCCAGCCCGAGCCCCATCCCGTACCGTTCCGAGTCGTTTCATTCCATTCCCTCTGACACGAGTTGCCGTTGCTGTTCGTTCGCTTTTAATTGTTTGATAATTTCAATTTTCGTTTATCCGATACACAGGTGAGCCACCAGTCAAAGAGCAAACTAATAAAACTTTTAAGTCATGCCCAGGCATTAGTTTCGGCTTTATGGCGCCCTTCTCGAAAAAAGAGTAGAACGATCCTAAGGTTGCAGGGGGAAGGTCACACGATACTTTAATTCAATTTCAAACGAATTGTACTTTTGGATATCGGCTTTTCTCAGGTAACCAAATTAAACGGAAGCAACGTTCTATTTTCGTTGTGCTTTGCAAGTATTGAAAGCCACCTTTTAACTGTGATTTTAATTTGTATTTAATTCAATTGGGTTTAACCGCTAAGAGAGTTTGCTTTCGTAATCAAATTTAATGAAATCTGCTTTCATTAGAACATAACAAATAGTCAGTTGAGTTTAAATGATTCACTTTAATCGAGTAGTTAACATTAAGGTTATCAAGTTCGAAAGCTGTAAGAAATCTTGAATTGATTCTTGAATGCTCACGAAGTAGAAGACTGGGATTTGGGAGTTCTAAAAATTCATATAAAATATATACGAATATCTTAAATGCATCTGTTTACTTTTATTTATATAGGACACATTACTATACCTTATCTAACTTCATGCTATTGAATATATTGTAATTTATAATATAATAAATATAAATAAATATTTTCAGTGGGATTGTAAGAACATAAGAACTTACTTCTGACACCTCTCATTTGCCATAAGAAGCAATAATCCATTATAAATATGATATGTGCTATGTGACGCACTAAAAATATGGCCCCTGGGGTTAATGTCTAGCACTTGGCTCAAATCATTTTTACTACTGCCAAATGGCAATTACTTTTTGTTCTCGAAACACTTAAAATGGAACTTGTTTGGCTCAGAAAGCCAACAATAACCAAACTGAAATAAAAAAAAAAACACAAAGAATGCTTTCATATGTAATTAAAGTAAATTTAATTAAACTGCCAACGGCAAGTAGTGGAGAGCGAGTGCAAGTTAAGACCCGCTGCTGCCACCTAGATCCGCGAGATCTCTCATCTAGTGACAATTTATGGCACAGTTTGGCATTCGTATAACCAAAACGTGGTCAGAGCCGGGATCTCTGGCGCGCCGAGATCTCTTCATTGCGGCACGCTGAAAACTGTCAACAATTTTGATGAAAATAATTGGCCAACAGCTGTGGGCGACGACGACGACGACGGGCCCCAATTACGGGACTGGGGGCGATAAAATGCGTACGTGTTCATAAATATTGTCAATTAGCGAGGGCTCAGGCTCAGGCTCAGGCTCAGCTGAGCAGCAGAAGATCGGGCAGAACCGAAGGAGCTCAGGGCTAATTGCAACTGTAACCGCAACAGCAGCAGAAACAAGTTACGCAACAGTCATCAATGGGGATTGAGTTACATTTAC